ATAGACATTACAACCTTCCCATTCCTACATTCAAAAGAATAACAAAATATGAGTTATCAATGTTTGAAGCCCACAAAGTAATCAAAGCATTTTTATTATTTGTCTTTTCATCTTTCAATAAAAAGCTTGTGACACTCATTTTATGGGTGAAAATTATATTAAAAATCTGAAATATTTAATAATAATATAAATTTAAGTAATGGAAAGGAGAATAATATAATACTTTCAAAATTGAAATTAAAAGGACACAAAAACTGATTTTAGAAGAGTAAATTGGATTGGATTTTGAAAGGAGAAAGGAACACGAAGTTTTTTCATCTCACGACTATGGTAAGGCGCAAATTTAATAAAATTGTCGGGTTGTTCATTGGGAATGAATGGATAACAGAAAACAGACCCTTTGTCATCATGTCTGTAACTTTTACAAGGGGTTGTTCACTGGGAAAGTGAACGTTCAGTTGTCAAGGGATTACGATCGTTTTATGCCCAGATTAAACGAAGAAGAAAGAACCGAGCTAATGAACCAAGCCACTATAGAGGAAGTAAATGTAGCATTATTCTCCATGAAGGGTTTGAAAGCTCCGGGTCCGGATGGCATTCAACCCATTTTCTATAAACAAAATTGGGACACGGTTAAAGACACCATACGAGAGTTCGTGACTAGAACCTTGGAGTTGGGAAAGATGGAGACAAAAATCTTAAGAACCTTCCTTGTGCTAATTCCGAAAAATTACTGCAGTTGACAACATTACTCAATTTCGGCCAATTAGCCTTTTGAACACGTCTTACAAAATCTTCTCAAAAATTATCGTTCGTCGCTTGTGTCCTATGTTACAAAGGTTGATTGGTCCTTACCAAAACAGCTTCCTAAAAAGTAAAAGTACATCAGACAATATATTGATAGTTCAAGAGGCAGTACATTCCATGATGAACCTTAAAGGAAGGAAGGGTGCAATGATCTCCAAAATTGATCTACAGAAAGCCTATGACAATGTTAATTGGGAATTTCTCAAGAAAACTCTCCAAGACTTCAATTTTCCTGGAAGATTGATAGAGGTAATATTGTTTTGCATTACTTCCACTACTATTGAAGCGTTATGGAATGGGGAAATCATCGAGAGCTTCAGTCCTGAGCAAGGTTTACGCCAAGGTGATCCGTTATCGCCTTACTTATTCATATTGGTTATGGAAAGGTTCTCTCACATCAGCATGGAGAAAGTGGACAGGGGTATATGGAAACCGTTTAATAGCTCGAGGGGTGGAATTAAATTAAGCCACTTATTTTTTGCGGACGATCTCCTACTGTTTGCAGAAGTGGATTCCGGTCAAATGCAATACATAAAAGGTTGCCTAGAGGAATTTAGCCGAGCAGTTGGAGTTGAGGTAAATCTCCTTAAATCAAAAATGTTTATTTCCCCAAATATTAACTCTTCCATAGCTCAACATCTAAGTGAATTGTGTGGCATCCCCCTTACGGATAATCTGGGAACTTACTTGGGAGTCCCTATAATCCATAAAAGAGTTAATATAGGAACCTATGAATCTCTCATTGAAAAAGTAATGAAAAGATTGGCAAGCTGGAAAGGAAGAGTCCTATCCATGGCGGGTAGGAAATCGCTCATTCAAAGCGTTACAAATGTCATTCCAATACACACGATGCAAACCACCGTACTTCTTGTTTCAGTCTGTAGAAAGCTGGACATAATCAATTGTAATTTTTTTGTGGTGAGGAGACATAGCAAATGCTCACAATCATCTGGTCAGCTGGTACAAAGTGTGTCAATCCAAAAAGACGGGAGGGTTAGGCATCCGTAAAGCAAGATTAATGAACATCGCTCTCATGGCAAAAAACAGCTGGAAACTTCTCACCAGACAAGAGAACATCTAGTGAAAAGTGTTTGAAGGAAAATATCTAAAAAATAAAGAATTCTTGGAGGCAGATTCAAGAGGAAATAGCTCTTCCACCTGGAGGGGACTGTTACGAACTCGCAATTTATTAAAGCAGAGGCGTAAATGGAAGATTAAGTTTGGTGTTCAAGCTAAGTTCTGGCAAGATTGGTGGGTAGGTAAAGAACCATTGAAAAACTTATATCCTCTAATGGATAACCCAAGCATAATTGAAGAGGTGGCCAGATACATTGACGATGATTGATCTTGGAATATCCGAGGAATACAGAACATGATCACTGAGGAAACAAAGCTGGAAATTCAGAAAGTTTCGATCCCGCAATTAACCGATCCTGTAACACCCCCAACCCGTACCCAAGCCGGATACGAGTATGAGGTGTCATATTGACTACTCAAAACATTTACTTTTACAAAATACCCAAGATTCAGTTTGATATTTCTAATAAAACTATATATTTTCTATGATATAAAACATATGCTTTTACAAAACTGATCAGAGCGTATCTAATACAAATCTTTTAATTGCATGCCAACTAAATTCTATATATAACAAAATACATGTTATTCATTTAGCTTCTGATCTGACATTTGGTAAGGAAAAACTAACATGTCTTGCTCGTCTTAGCTTCTCTTCCTACTTTCCTGAACCTACGTGTGAAACACTTACACGCTAAGTCATAGACTTAGTGAGACATATAAATACATATGTAAATTATCAAATGCATGTACATATCATGTAATACAACGTCATACTGGTATACATACTTTTTCATGTAACAATTACATACACACATGCATGTCACCATTTATATTTTCTCATACTCTTATATGATTATCCTTTCTATCTCTTCTCTCTTGTTCATATGATCTCTTATTTTCATATTCTATATCTTATACCATGTTCTTACATCATCATATGAGTCCTTGATATTCATTCATATATATACCTTAACATATATTCATATACATCCCATAACAAATGCCATAACCCATAACACACATTCTTTCCTGTAACATATAGACACGTTCACATATATCATCATATAAAACATGTAACATATTTCTCATTGCAACTCACATTTTATCGTTATCTTTTTGGTTAGCCCATGCACACTACTGAGAACTTAAGGTATGTGAGTACATAGAGGTTGTGCACTATGCTGTCACCACAGCTCATATAATTCCCACTAGGGGAGAGTAGAATTTTTCCCGAAGGACCACGTAGATGTCCCGAAGGACCATTTATAACACATATGTCCCGAAGGACCACTATGTCCCAAAGGACCGCGTAGACCCTCGACTCTTGGCATGCCAACTATACCTATAGCTCTCATAACACATGACATGGGCATTATCTTTTACCTCATTACACATTCACATATCCATATCACATAGTCACGTAGTTTACTTTCACGTAGCATTTTCCATGAAATTCATATTCACGTATCACATAACTTTCCACTTGTACCTGTATTCTTTTTTTTCACATAGCTCTTAATTATGATTCTTATCTCATAACATATATTCACATCACTCATATAACATACATAGCACATCGTGTAACGTTCTCATAGAAACATATATGAGTTATATCACTTTCACATATATTTTATCATATATCTTATCTCTTATGATCATATAACTTATTATCACACATACATGCATTCACAAGGTTCACATATAAAGATACATTCGAAAATTAAACCTATGCATTTACTCATATACTTCTAGCACCATATTATTACAGGATCATGCTCAGGTACTCTTAAACATCATATCATACTATACTTATATTATTGTACTCATGTCATCTATTATCGGAATTAGACTCATCGCAAGTCTTAATTCCATAAACATCATGTACACTTAATATCATGTACTCACCTGATCTCACTAGTCAATACTGATTTGTTATCTTTTCCTTGATCGATCTTATTTGCCAAGTTCCGGAACTTGTTTAGGCTCTGAATCTACATAGTAATTTATTGATACTAATCAGTATATTAATTAATATATTCTAAACTATCATTTCTTGGGTTAAAAGAAGAGCCATTTTATCTTTTAATGACGGTATGCATCAATGCACCACACCCTACATCGATACATAAATCCTATTCGATGTTTACATTTAAGGGGGTGCATCGATGCACTACTTGTGCATCAATGCACTGATGGCATTCGATGTTTGTATTTTAGAAGAGTGCATCGATGCACTTCAGGTGCATCGATACACATTGAACAATTTCTGGGATTTACCCTTGATGCATCGGTGCACATTGAATGAGCATCGATGCACATAGCCCAGAATTTCAATTTATACCTGAAAATCCACTCTTTTCAACTTAATTACTTCATATATCATCCTCTTTCTTATTCTTAACTTACATATACATGTTTAAACTCATTTATATTCATTTATCTCGTCTTTAAACTTAATATCCTCTCCTCTTCATTAACTTCAAGAATCATACCAGATTTTCAACATGTTTTAAAACTCATTCTATCACTTCACATATCTTAATTTAGCCCTTGACAAGTCAAATTCAACTTCAAAATCTATTAACTCCTTCTATTTCAAAAATTCACTTAAAAACTCATTTTCTTTAATCTCTTCTACATCTTTCATCTTGTTGTTTTAGAACAAATTAAGCTTTCCTTAAGCTTAATTATCCTCTAATGATCATAACCTAACCTTAAAATCAATAATTAATCCACAAGCAAAGAAACTCACATTTGAGCTTGGAGATACGAGAGGAAGAAGAAGAAGACTGAAGAATGCTCTAGAGAAATTATCTCCTTCCCACGTGCTTATTACCCTTTATAAAGGGAAATAAAAATCTTTCCTGAAAAATAACCATAATACCCTTGTTACTTCAAACTTTGTTATTTAAATCCAACATCAATACTTTTCATTTAAATCCCTAAACTTTCAATCTCTTCTGAGATTGGTCACTAAATTACCAAAAATTCTATTTTGGTCATTGACCCGACTTTTGGGATGTTACAGATCCTCACGAACATGATGTTAACACTTGGGGCTTCTTAAAGGATGGGCAATTTATGGTTACTTCATATTTTCAACCATGTCTAACATGGAGGTGGGTGGTCATAATGGGGACAATCTAATGTGGGTATGGAGAACTAAAACCAGTGAAAGAATCAGATTTTTTATTTGGTTGTCCTACCTTGACAAACTTAATACGAATGAAGTTAGATGCATGAAGAACATGACTCAGAATGCGAACTGCAAAGATTGTCGAGATGATACAGAGTCAATTAATCACATATTCCGGATGTGTCGAGCAGCAAATTTCGTTTGGGAAGAACTACAAGTGAAGGAGCAGGACAACCAATTTACTTCGTTGGAGTTTAAGAGTTGGCTGAAATGAAATTGTCTTTCAAAGAAGGTCGGGTTGGATGGATTAAAATGGGGTCCTTTGTTTATGGCTATAATTTGGGGACCGTGGAAGAGCATGAATGAAAGGATTTTCAAAGAAACGAAGTTTGATCCCTTTAAAGTAATAAATTATGCTAAACAATTTACAGGGGATCTGGAGAAGTCTCTGTCAAATGCACATAAAAGGATGGTTCAAGATCCTTGCTTGATTAAATGGAAAAAACCTCCTGAGGGAGTATGGATTCTTAATACTGATGGTGTGTATAAATTGAATTCAGGCATGGCTGCTGTAGGTGGTTTAATCCGGGACAGTAATGGTGACTGGATTGCGGGGTTCATGTTGAGATTAGGGAGGGTTAATAGTTCGATTGCGGAAATTTGGGGGGCTCGTCAGGGTCTCAATTTAGCTAAAAGTCTTGGTTCAAGAAATATGGTACTAGAAATGGATGCTAAATGGATTGTGGATCTATTTAATGGAGACAAGAATGAAGATTTTCTAGAATTTCAGTTGTTACTGACTGTTTAGATATTATAAAGGAAGGATGGGTTATTGAAGTTCAACACATCTGGCGAGAAGGAAATAAATGAGCTGATAAACTGGCTAATCTGGCGCTCATTCAAGAAGAACATTCCTCCATTTTGCAGTCGCCTCCAACGAAAATCCAAGCGATGTTGGCAGCTGACAAGAACGAAGTGAGCGAGTTGAGAATTTAATTTTTTGTTTTCTCCTAATGTACCAAAAAAAGAATAATAGATTAATGGGTAGGGTTTATATTTTAGAAAAAAAGATATTAATATCTTTTAAATATATATTGTTTGTTATGTAATTTGGTTTTTATGTATTTTTTCACTTCATGATACTAAACTTAATTCAATATATTATTGTAACTATAGATTCATAAATAGTAAATGGATTTATTTGCATCAATTTTTAGTTTAAACAAAAATAATTCTTGTTTGGTCATGATATTAAATTAGTTATTATCAACGATGATTGTCTAAGGTTAGTCGTCGGCCCCTTTTATCTTTTCATATTCCTTCATTAATTTCCTTTTATTTATCTTTTTCTCTCTCTCTAGAATTTACTTTGTATATTTTTTCCCTGTGTTTTTTTTATTTAATAAGTCTCTCCCTTTACTAACGAGAATGATGAATATCTATTGGGGAAAAAACATAATAACATTTTACCTATGAAATTTTAATAGTTGCTTAATTTTTCTTTATCTTTGGTTTATATGTGACGGTAGCAATCTTAGTGTTAATTGCCTCTATCAGTATTATTTATACATATTTTTTATATCATATCTTTAATTTATTTTCCTTTTTTAATTTTTATTAACTTTATTTTTATAACATATTTTTTTCTAACTTTATGTCACCTTTTTTTCTTATCTTTTGGTACATTTTCCGTCATTGACTTTTTTTTCGTTTATCCTTTTTATTAAGGCTAGATTTGGCATCATCACTGATGTTCAAGATGTCATTTATTTATTATCATGATGATATTCTTTGCTTTGGACCTTCGAATTGAAGTTGGATACTTGATTTGCATTTGTGGATAGTTTTCTCACGTCGCTCGACTCTAATTACCGATTTGTCGGTAGTTTTTCAATAGTTTGAACATCTTTTGTAGTTCGTTTACCGATACAATCATATCTATTCATATATATCTTTTGTTCGAGTTCAATTGATTAGATTTTTTAATATTTTCGTTGTATGGTCCTTGTATGATCTTAAATGACTAGTTTCTTGTGTCAATAATTATAAGAGAATATCCTATTATGTATTTAATTTACAATTATAATTGTAAACCATCATCGTAGTTATGGATGTTATATATTTTTAATAAAATTAGCGGTTTCTATCGATCAAAAGAAATGATGAATATTTTTAACTGTTTTGTAGGACATTTTAATCTTAATTTTACACCTTTTTCTTCTTTATAGTTGAAATTATTGACAGTTCTTTAGTTGATAGTTATTCGATTATTTTATTGATCTACTCCTAGACATTTGGATCGATTCACTATCTTGATAGGTGTTTACAGTCACCTTATATATGTCATGCTTGAGCAGTGGTAAAATCATTTATTAACACTTTATCATACTCTATTATTATATTTATATTAATATTATTTAATCTTCATTTTATATAATAATATAATTGATTAAACTTTTAATCATTACATGTATGATATTATAAAGTCAATAGGATATTGGATTATATATATATATATATATATATTAGGTGGAGTATATAAATGGTTTCTTGTATTAATTTAATTATGAGAGGCTATATGAATTAATAAGATAATGTGCTGAGTGACGATTCTATTTCACATGACTTTTGATAATGTAATTAATGAACTAATCAGATATTCTTTACTTTCTTATTTTATCTCTAATCATGAGTTCAACGAAAATTACACATTGACATATACTTACAACCCAATCATCAAAAACAGAAAACTAATGAAGGATTATTGAAACCCAGATTAATTATATGTCTGAGGACCAAACATGAATCCATGATAATTAGATATTGTAATGTAAAAACTGTTGGTTTATTGTGATATTTGAAAAGCAATCATCTAAGGACACGATGGACCCAAATTGGAAGTAATGACAATGGGGGAGACAAGTAGGAAGACTGCTTTTACGAGAAGCCAATACCTGATCGAAACATTAGAAGCAGGAGATGAGGTAAAAAGATCATTTCATGTTTTTCAAACCCGCAAACCATTTTATCCTTTCATTTTTCTCTTGTTGTATGTCCAGTTGCTTGATTATGACCTTTGGGGTCTGGAATGACCATTTTATCCTTTCATTTTTCTCATGTTGTATATCCAGTTGCTTGATTATGACCTTTGGGGTCTGGAATGAGCATTTGTGGACAGTATGGCTCCGACAGATGTATATTATTCTTTCATATATCTATAGTCAATTTCTTGTCGGTCCTTAAGTTTTTTAAGGCTATTGACGGGGAGCAATCCTACTTAATTTTAGGAAATATTGAGTTTTTAAAATAAAAAACAAATAAATAGATTCAGAGTAGTCATCGACCTTTAGGTTTGATACGTTGAATACCTAAAAATATTTTTTAAAATAATTTTAATAAAAATAATTTTAAAAGATAAAAAGTAATATGTGTTTAACCAGAAACTCGTTTTGAAAAGGGTTCGGGAGTCGATTACGCGTGGGAAAGGATTAGCACCCCACAACAATTATACGTCATCTGAATATTGAAATTGACAAATTTGAATAAACATTTAAATTAGGATCTTTTTTTATACAAATTAAAAAGAGGTATTATCTTTTACGAATAATTCTCGAAAATACATTCCTTGTCAGTTAAGGGGCATTTCCATGGATTCTCCATACGATATAATATTGCCCTAATTTTTAATGAATAACATACATTGAATAAATATATTTTAAAAAAATATTGAGATGTAAAAATAGTATATATTTTGTACGAGTAATTCTCGGAAACAAACTCCTTTTAAGTTAAGGTACGCTCCCATAAATTCCTCTTTCAACATAATATTGCTTTAATCAATGGTTCATATGTATAAAAAACATTTAGTACACAAAACAAAATTTATTAAAATTGTAAGGCATATACAAGCAGGGTAAGAACCAAGATCGAAATGAAGTACTAAATATAAAATAACAAAAGTAGAAACAAATGAGCAGAAGGACAAAATAGTAAACATGGCAAATGTAACACCCCCAACCCGTACCCGACCCGGATACGAGTCCGAGGTGTCACATTGACTTTTCAAACTTTGACTCTTGACAAAATTCAAAGAAAATTTAAAACTTTAATTAAAGTAAAAGCAGTTTATTTACATAACTTAACCATAATAACTAAAATTAATCAGAGCATATTAACTCAATCCTTTAGTACATGCCAATTATATTCAATATAACCAAAATCATTTAAATCATCTATTTTCTGATATGAAATTTGTAAGGGAGATGCTGACTTGTCTTGCTCTCTTAGCTTTTCTTCTAGCTTTCCAGAACCTAAGTGTGAAACACTCACACGCTAAGTCGATGACTTAGTGAGGCAAATAAAACTTATAATGCACTTAATAACATTTAACAATGCATGCTTGTTTCATTCTATCATGCTATACTAAATCACCTTATTTCATCATAGCATACAAAATCATATCAGATTACTTAACAAAATATACCTACATACATATAAAGCATCATTAACCGTTTATCTTTTAATCACATACTTTTATACTTAAACCCCTTAATCAAACAATATACACACACACAACATCATATCATTTCTACAACATTTATCATATCACAAACACATATTTGTTATTATCTCATGATTAGCCCATGGACATATGTGAGAACTATAGGTATGTGAGTCTATAGAGGTTGTGCACTAATGCTGTCACCACAGCTCGTATAATTGCACCGAAGTGCCGCGTAGAATTTGAACCGTAGTGCCATATAAGATTGTCCATAAGGACCACATATAAATTCCTTAATAACCATATACATATACCAAGGATCAAGTAAGTGTCTCAAAAGACCTCATACATGCTCCAAAGAATACATATACGTCCCGAAGGACCACGTAGAAAATTCCTTAAGAATCATATACATATGCTAAGGACCAAATACGTGTCGCAAAGGACCTCATAGATGTTCCATAGGATACCTATATGTCCTGAAAGACCGCGTAGACCTTCGACTCTTGGCATGCCAACTATACCCCAAATCTCTCAAGACACATAACATGGGCACTATTTTTTATATCCTTGCACATATTCATGTAAACATATCACATATTCATATAAGCTCGTAGCTTCATTCACACATACATGTAATCACGTAGTTCATGTCAATTCACATATGATTTCATATTCATATAATCACGTAACTCACTTACACATAATACATTTTCATGTAATTCACAGATATCCCTTAGCTTATATCTCTTGATCATTTAATCACAACTTCTTATCACATATCTCATAGTCATGTTTTCATATATTCATTTCATCACACAAGCTCATAGTTTCTGGTCATATTATTCACATTCTCTGACTTGTCTCTTATGATCTTGTAATCACTACACTTATTTCATTTAACTTATTACCGAATAATTCACATATAAACACCTAGATCACTTTCACATAACTTATATAAGTTTCCTGAATCCTTTCATATTACCTGCTAACATATAGCATATAGGTATATAATAACTTATCTCATTTCGTCTACTTTATGCTTTATTTCTTTGTATTCCCTTAGATTATATAACTTATGTCGTATTTCTAAACATATATATTACACTTAATCGTATTTTATTTATATACTACTTTAATCCACTTAATTAATTCAATTTCATATATTCCTTATAACATTTTCATATAAATTCATAGATATTTAGCATATAATTTATCCTATATATATACATATCATCGCTTTATATTCAAGTTCCCTAATTGATATATTATTCCCATTCCATTCTATAATTCAATCTTATTTAGTTTCCTTAATTCTCATTAAATCAAATAACTCTATTTTACTAATTCTTATAACCATGCATTCACATGGTCTTATATTTCATTATCTTATTACTTATATTTATTCTCCTATGATTCTTCATAAACCTCTATTTCCATTTCCTTACATCTCTTGACTTATCTTCTGTATTCATATAATTTCATAACTTATTTGATATTCTCTCATTAACACTTAATAGTGTTTGTACATAAACCACATAGCACATACAAAACATACCAATTCATATAATCAAGCATACATACACTCATATTCAACTCATGCCTTTAATCATGAATTCATATGTAACTCTTTAGGAAATAGACTCATCGTAAGTCTTCTTCCCATCACCCATCATATATTATTGAATATGCACTCACCTGGCCTCACTAGTCAATTCCAATATCTTATCTTTCCCTTTGATCGATCTTACTTGACAATGATTCCGGAACTCGTTCAGGCTCTGAATGTACATAATTATACATTTTAAGGCAATTCTTAGATACCTATACCTTGTAATTTGATACTAGAAACTTAACCGAACTCATTAAACCAATAAACACTTTTTCTTTTAGGGGGGAATCGGTTCCCTACTGTGGGGGAATCGGTTCCCCAAAGACATTCTGGAATTTCTGGTTCGGTTGAGGGGGTATCGATTCCCCTTTGAATGGGTACCGATTCTCCCTTGAATGGGTATTAATTCCCATTGAATGGGTACCGATTCCCCTAGCCCAGAAATCATGTTTTGAGCTCGAGAATCACTTCATTTTCAGCTCCACACTTCATATTTCACTTCCTTTAATATTCTTAACTCAAATATACATACTTAAACTAATTAATACCCATTAATTTCATCTTAAACCTCAAAATTCTATTCTCCATATAGAAATCAATAATCATAACAAATTTTCCATGTTACCCAAACTTAATTCTAACACTTCTAGCTTCTTATTCTCATAGATGACAAGTCAAATTCATCCTCTAAATTCATATAAACCTTCTTATTCAAAATTTCACTTAAAAACTCCAATTATTCAATCTCCTCTAACTCAATTATCTTTTGATTTTAAGATAACTTAAGCTTTCCTTAAGCTTAGTTATGATCTAATGATCAAAACTAACTCATAAAATCAACAATTAATTGATTAACCAAAAAACTCACCTTTGCTTTGGAGCCTTCACGGGAGGAGAGGAAGAAGAAGAAAGAAGAAAGAGTTTTCAGATAACTCTTTTCCCCACCCCCACGTGATTCATATTTATTAAGGGGAAAAATATCTTTCTGGTCAAATGACCATTTTGCCCTTTAATTCCTTTAATAATTATTAACAACTTTAAGAAAATATCTACACATAAATCATTGAACTACTCAACTATCCTACTTTTATCCCCAAATTCTAAAATTTTACAATTTAATCACCAACCCGGTATTGAGGATGTTACAACAAAAATGAAAATATATTACAGCATGTATACTAGAAATGAAATAAACCCAAAAATGAAATAAACCCAAATATGAGCAGAATGACTAAAATGAACAATATAAAAATAAGGTTCTAAATTTAGGATAAACCTAAAACAGTGGCTGAAAAACAAACAAGGATTAAAGTGAAACTAATAGGCTAGATCAAAACTAAACTAGAATTACAAGGACCTATTGACAATGATTTCATTTTGTTTTATGTAACCAAGTTGAAACAATGGTCGAAATAAAAATTAAATAAATCTAGAAGGGCCTACAACATGATTATCATATGTTTACACACAACTAATTGAGGATCAAAGAGTATTAGACCCAAATTTAAGGACTATAACAATTATTAAACCAAAGCTCATCAGAACATGCATGATGACTAAAATGCAAGTAAGAATAAATTTGGAGTCCATATCATAACAATCAAAATCTGTATTAGTCGCTAAAATGAAAGGGTTACAAAGTATAAAGACCCCTCGTAGGGATTACCTACGCGCTAGGTGCTCACTCTCCCCCTCAAACGAAGTCGTTTCAGATTGGGTATAAATACCCAAAATGTGGTCCAAAATGGGCTTAATCCCTCATTTTTTTCCTTTTCTTTCTCTTTTTAAAGAGATAAGATTTTTTTTCTCTATACCTTCTCTCTTCTTTTCCTCGTCGGGAGAAGCCGATAACCTCCGACCATCGCTCGTTGGAGCACTCAGTCGTCGCCCACAACGGTCAGAGTTCGACTAACTTACCCAAAACAACCCCTCTCTTCCTTAAACCCGAATCCAAACACCCCTTGCCCTAGATCCTCTTCCCTCGTCCTAGATCTAGGAGATTCGAAGAGGTTACCTTAAAAGAAAAGGCACCACCTTCCGACAACGTTTGAGTTTTTCAGCGAAACTAGAGATGGTAAGCTTCTTCATCTTTTTTTTCTTTCGAAAGGAGCTCTCCATTGTTTTCGAAAATCCCTTGGAATTTCAAATCTTCTCCCTTTTGTGTTCTTCTTTTGTTGATGGTTCCCCCTCTATTATTTCTCTGTGTTGATGGTTGTTGTATATCACTGAAAAAAGAGAGGACTTTTTCTCTTTCCTACTTTTTTTTTCCGGTGTTGCATGTTTTAGGTAAGGGTCTGACTTTTTTTTTTTTTGCTTCGAGTGCTTGGACCGAGGAGAGTGAGACACATCGGATGAAATGCGACAGGTGACATACGTATGAACGGGGTAAAAACATTTACCCCGAGGCCTCTCTTTAAACTTTTCGTGGTGACCGACGACAAATTTGACGGTGGTTGCAGACCTCGGGAAGGTGAGAAGTGATGACCAATGCTTGGTCTGGCGTGTGTAGGCTGATCGGGGCGTGGTGGCTGCTGGATTGACGCGTATGCATCTCACGCATTGAGAGGTTGGAGTCTCGGCGGTGTTGGGACTTGATGGGAGCAAAGGTTTCTGCAAACCCTAACAGCTTGGGCTCACTTCGATTTGGGCTTGGACTACCCTTTGAGCTGTTTCTGGTTTGGGTTTTGACTGCTATTTGGGCTGCTTCGACTTTGGGTTTTAGCTTGTAAAAAACCAGTAATAACAATAATAGTAAATAATAATAATAATAATAAATATTAATAATAATATAAATAACAATAATCCAGACAAAACGAGTGTCTACATTTCTTATGTGGTTTTTTCTTGGCTTTCCCCATTTTATCTTATTACTTTTCATTTCATGCAACTTAGGCTTACATAAAAATTCAATTTTATTAATAAGTAAAATGGCACATCACCCAATCTCCTGGCAATATAGAGAGCAACGTCAACCAGATAAAGCTTACATGCTTTGTCATACCGTTTTGTATTTGGGTAAACTACTTATTTAGCTATCACTTATTTTTGTCATTCTGTTTTGGTTATTTAATTATTTTTAAAAATCATATTTAACTTTACGTTTTGATTCTATTTCAATAATTCATCGTTAAAAAATTAACAGTAATGTTGATATATCATTATAAGATAATGAAACATCATCATTAAAATATAACTTATCTCGTCGGTGGTTCTATTTATTTTTTTAAAGGCGGGTGATAAAAACTTAATGTTAAATATGATTTTAAAAAAATAAAATAGTTGGGAGATCAAAATGAAACTGTAAATATAGGTGAGTGGCTAAATGTGTAGTTCACCCTTTATATTTTAATAATTTGATTATTGAAATTAACGCTTTAATTTCATTTGTTTTGAAAAAAAACATAAAGAATGAATTAAAATATTACGGACAAATCTGTATAACTGTAATAGGAATGAATGATGATGTAAATAAAAAACTTTGTATGGCTTGGGTTCAGACAGTTGGTTAGGGGAAAGTACTTGGTCATTACTGTATAAAGATATACATAGGCTATTGTTTTTTGTTGCAGTATTTTTGCTGCTTTTTGGATATTAATTAAACTCATGAATTATTTAGTACAATTATAAATATAAATAATATATATTTAAATAATTATTATAAAATAAGTCGATATTGATCAACTTAGAGGAAGCTTTTTATTTAGCAATATTGATCAATAAGTTGATAGGTATTAAATTTAAACTTCAAGGGTATATGTTGTCAAAACTCCAGATTCCACTAATATTAATAAGATGAAATGACAAAAGAATAATCCGTCACCATTCACCACGATCTTCCGAACTAGTAAGGGATTAACCATTCAATATATAATTCTCTGGTATTATAAGGTGTATGATTTTCTTGTCCCTCGAGTTTATTTTAATCATTGTATGCAACGCTAAATATTGCAGAAGATACCCTAATTTCGAAAGAAAAACATCCCACAACATACAGAGCCGCCGGAATAATTACGTCCCTCATCGAGAGTATTAATTGTTCAAAAGCATATACACTAACTACTTGGCCTATATAGTTCCAACATAATGCATTTTCTTACACCTGCTTAAATCATTTCAAACATCAAATAAGTACCGAGAATTATTGCATTAATTGTAGATATAGTTACTTCCAAAGCATTCTAGGAACCAGGAAGTATAAACTGTTGCCCAAGGGATCCAACGATCGTGCCAGGATAAAACGGGGTGTTTTGAGGTAGCTGGTTGAGCAAAGAAACAAACGAATTGGTATAGTCAATATTGCCAGATCTGCTGTTACAGTTTAGATCATCTTGCTGGAATCTTTTGCCGGATTCTGAAGCTGTTAAATTCGTTTCGTTCCAGTATTGTTGAGGAAGCGTTCGTTTAACAGTAAATGCCATGGGAAAATTTTGCTTTGAAACATTGGAACTGCTTCGCATCCCTTGGTCTGATAATATCCCTTCAAAGAAATTATTATCTTCATGTTGTAGCAATGACCCGTATCCCGTAGCTTTTGATGTAAGAGCGCTTGGATTTTGATTGCTAGGAGTTGGCAGTGTCGCAAGCATGCCCATGCCCTCTATGCTGTAGCCTTTGTCCCTTTCCATTGGTCTTTGGGCATTATTCTTCTTGTAAATTCGGCATAAAACCCAATCATCAAGCTGAAAACAACAAGAGAAAACCCACTGATATCCGTGAATGATATGAATATGAAACATAGTTTTATGGGACTGTAACTCATACCCGTAAAGAAGCTTTCCTGTTGGGTAGATCAGAAATTTGAGGCTTTGAAGTGGAAATATTGCCGGTAAGGCGATATTCATGCATGATCCAATTCGTTTTGATGCCTTTGGGAGGCTTACCTCTGTAGAACACCAGAGCTTTTTTAACACCAACCTTTTGGTTTCCATTAGAAGTTACAATGGGCTTATCGGTCCCAGTGGCTTTCCAATATCCAGAAGTGGCAGCTCTATTAGGCCTCGCTCCATTGGGATATTTCCTATCTCTAGGACTGAAAAAATACCACTCTTGCTCTCCAAAAGTCGCCTTACCTACAAAATTATGTAAATTCAAAGACTAGTTTGATCAATGAAAACATGGTCAAATATAAATTGTTGTATATGTATATGTACTTGGCAGCTCCCATGGATCAAACTTGTAAAGATCAACTTCGGCTATGATTGTAACAGGCAGAGGAGCAGAGGCAGCCTTCTTTTTCAGGTAGTGAACAACTAGCTCTTCGTCGGTCGGATGGAATCGAAACCCTGGTGGGAGTTGCGGGTGTGGCGACACTGAAGATGAATCTGTACTTTCCATTAATTCGCCCATCACCTTTGGTTCAAACTTTTCTTACTAGCTTTCATGAAATCAAAGGAGTTGGGAGACTATTAAACTTGAGGGAGATGAAGAAATTAAAGATATACGTTAATGACTTCATAACGTTATAAGGAGGGGAGTGGCTGGCTGTTAAGGTTCATAAAGAGACAAATGGACAACGGTGATCAAATGACACGTGGAAGAGAAGATTGAAGGGTATGTTGACACGTGGTGGGTTACGGGTGGTGGGGACCACCGGAAGCGGGTAAAGGGCAAGAAAACTCGGAGGGGGGCATGTCTTTGGGGTCGCATGTTTGCAACTGCCTGTTACGCTTACCATGTCACGCTTTTCTTATGTGTGATGGTCTCGCTTCTGTCCCCAAACTAATTTCAAGAGAAAAGGGAAGAAAGTATGGTGTGCAACCATGTCTGTTTCTGACTCATATATTTTATTTTCGAAATTAGTTTTATTTAATTTCATATACCAAATGTATGCTTAATCAAACAAGTTTGTATTAAGATTTTATTTTGAAACTATTTTGCATGTAAATTAAGCTTGCTGATATGGAATAAAAACCCCATTTTACTATTTTGGAGAATAGGCATAAATCCATAGAAAAGGGGGCGTTTTTGACCCGGCAACTTATCGTTTTCCTTGTATATAATCCCATTTGAAGAAAAAAATAGACTACAGATAGTTTGCTTCCCTCGGTAGTGCTTTGTTCTTTTGGATTTTATTACTTGTACTGCTATAACTTTCATAAATTTGTATATGCTTCTCTTTTGGTTTGGTTTCTCTGGTTTCAAAGTACAGTGCCAATGCCAATCAGTTTAACGTTACTTTCGATAACATGTATGATCTGCTGTCGCCAAGTAAGTTAAACAAACACGAGAAAAATGCAGAGAAGAACGGATTGACCTTGCATAAATGCGTAAAGGGCCAAAATTTAAAAAAGTGTTGCAATCTGCTTGGAACTTTTCTAATAAGTCGAAACTTAAAAAGGCATACTATATTTTGGATATTGAGATTTAGATCCTAGTTGAGACTTGCACACACATGGTGCTGCTGGCATACTATATGTGGTTAGGTCTCGTAAGCAGGTTTAAAAGGCAACGACCCACTTTACAAATGGAAAGTATAATGTTTTCGGGGTAACAACACGTTGGTTGAAATGGCTAGAGAACGTATTTCAAATTTATTTATTTAGGTTAACTATAACGTATTGACAAACGTTGTATTACTGTCAAATAATTCATTCTTCTCAAAAATAAATAAATAAAGGAAAGAATAGTAAGAGAAGTAGGTTTGATCCAAAGGGACTTTAGAGTTCTTGTTGTTGTAGATTTTTTGATTTAGATCTGGATAAGGATGAGAGAATATAGATATTTGGATAAAGGTGAGAAAAGATAGGGATGAGAGAAAAAAGAGGGTTTTAAATTGTTTAAAAATATAATACTTTGAGATAATGATAAGATAAATAAATAAATTGAAAAATAAATTGAGATAAGGAAAACTTATGGTGAAAACAACATCACACTTCAACTTTTGTCTTAATTCAAATTGATCCATGGAATAGATTTTCACTTCAGATATATGTTGGTTACAGTCTACAGGGATCAACCCCTATAACTTGTTTCTCACTGTTGTAAACCGAAAATCCAAAAGTTATCTTTGAATTACAATCCTTATATGGTCTAACTACGACTATCGTCGTCAGCACCGACTCAGTTTTAAAAGCTTTGGAAAAAACACAACTCAGACTATGTTGTCTTAATGATAATCGAGTCTGATCTCAATTTACCTTAGCGGACTGCCTCTAAGTGTGTTCACAAGAATTCGAACTTGCTACCAGTCGATTCTTCCTCCATACTTTAAACCAAAACAACATCCAAACCAACGTCGACTTTTTGATTTAAAAGTATTTTGATTTTAAAGGATATGTCGATTACCTATCCTATTTCTCTAGAAATTTGAGAAAATAACCCGAAGGTAATTTAAGTGCTTTTCAATCCTCACAATATGAATTGAGTCATTGCTTTAACCATTGGCTTATGGAGAAATTAGCTAAGTATGACAATCATACTTAGCAACTTTAAAAATAAAAATAAAAACAAAGAAAACTTTGAAAAAGAAAAGAAATTTTTTATAAAACCCAAAGCAAAGAATTATAATGAATTATGAATTGTGTTTTTAGGCTTATAATGAGAGGGTATTCATAGCCTTCAAAAATCCTAAAAACAATGAAAAGAGTCAAAATCCTAAAAACAATAGATAATTCCTAAAGATAATTCTTAAAATATTTAAACTAAAATCCTAAAAATATGAGTTTAATTTGAATTTGAATTTCAAAAACGCGGAAGACACATTCGTCCTTCTAGAAGCGCTGACTGGACCTTCTAGAATGTGATGACTCAAAGCCTCATCAGATGTGTCATGCCCAAAGTCATGCTCACTAATTTAGCCTTGATTCCGAAAATAAAAAAAACTGCAGAATTATGTCCTTTAAGTGCAATTTTCAGAATCTAGTGTCATGTACATAAAATGAATCAAAACGAACAAATCAACTACAAAAAATAACAACTAAGGAGCAATTTAAAGGAAAACTAATAACTAAATAAACCACCTATTAAATTCCCCCTCACTTATCTAATGCTTGTCCTCAAGCATTCCTCAATTAACACATCAAAATCACAAGTTGTCATCTTCAATTTCACTTTATTCATCAAACTCCCAATCAAACTAAGTCCTTGATAATTGTCGAATTCAATGTACAATCAAGCAAAGACACAACTAAGAAAAATTTTAAGCAAACAATATATCCCAATTATTTTCCAACTTTAATGAAGAATGACTCAATACCTCACAAAGATTCACACATACCCGCTCAAAGTGTTTAAGTAAAATGAATTCACTCAAACCGAAACTAACCAAGATATTACCATAGGCTTGGAATCCAATCAAGTCTCCACTACTAAAAGTGAACATAATGTAATAACCAAGGGGTCCTTAAATCAAGGTGTCATGGGGCTTAGGTTAGGGTAGGGAAATGGCCATGATAATCGGTTTAAGTACCAGGACAAGAGATTTACAAATAGTTCCTAACTTTATAAAATAAATGAAAGTAAAAGTAATAAACATAAACATAAATAATTTTTTCCTTTTTCTCTGTTGTTTTGTTCTTATGTTTTTGCTTTTTTTTTCTGGTTTTTTTCTTTTTCTATTTTCTGTATTGTACTGCTGTAATTGTTTGAACCAATTTTTTTAGAAGAAGAATGGAAATAAAAAATAGTAAAATAATTAAATAAGGAATATACATAAATGAAAACAACTACTCTACTTGTCTTGATATGGGTATAAAAGAGGGATGAAAATAAAGACTTGGGTTTAAGTATGTGGTAAAAACAAATATCACTAGTGGATATATAAATGGGTAGGCATTTTGGGAAAAAGTGGGTTTAATCCTAAGTGCCCCTATCACATTAAAACATTATGCCCAACATGCAGTCTCGATATGCATTAAGATTGCGAGTTCAAGAATATCATAATTAGTTCGACACACTCAGTCAAACAATGAGTAAGAAAGAAAATATATGCTCGTTAGGCTCAAATCTCACAAGAAAGGTTTATATGTACTGAGTCAAGTTCATCTCCATCAACAAATGCATGAAATATCAATACGTAGCAGAAAACACCAACTATGCCAATAACCATCATGAAAATTAAGTTTGATCAAAGCATGGTCACAATCCAAAAGGAAGAAAGAGTATAAAGTGAATTTCAAGATAAGCAAAAAGAGTATAAAGTGAATTTCAAGATAAGCAACTAAAGATTCCAACAAATCAATATCAAAACAACTTAATTCCAACCAATCAAACAAGCAAGCGAAAAATTTTATAGCAAATTCTACCCCCTCACTTAGACCATATTGTCCCAATATGTATAGAAAAGAACACGAGAGGGAACAGAAATACTGTAACATCCCAAACTATGGGTTAGTGACTAAATGATAAAATTTCAGAAATTTGGTGATTAAAGTAGAAGAATGGATTAGTTCAATGATTTATCTGAAAATAAATCCTAAAAGTTGTTAGTAATTATTAAAGGATTTTAAGGGCAAAGTGGTCATTTGAGTTGGAAAGGATAAGATAATAATCTTATCTCTTTATTAAGAGATAAGCATGTAGGGATCTCCAGAACTTCTTCTCCTTCTTCTTCCTCTCCTCCCGTATCTCCAAGCTCAAAGGTGAGTCTTCTACTTAGTTAATTAATTGTTAAGTTTAAGATTGGGTTTTGATCATTAGATGATAACTAAGCTTATGGAAAGCTTAGGTTGTCCTAAAATCAAAAGATAAAGGAGATAGAGAAGATTAAAGATTAGTGGTTCTTGAATGAAATCTTGAAATAGAGTTTATAATAAGAATTAAAAGTTGGATTTGACTTGTCATCAATCTAAGTAAGAGATATGAAGTAATATAATTGGATTTGAAACATGTTACAAAATTGATGTAATTATTGAATTACATATGGAATATAGGATTTTGAGGTTTAAGATGAAATAAATAAGTATAGATTGGTTTAAATATGTGTACTAGAGTTAAGAATGAAAAAGGGGATGAAACATGAAGGATTTAAGCCAAAATGAATGATTTTCGGGTTCAAAAAGAGGATTCTGGGCAGAGTGCATCGATGCATATTCATTGTGCATCGATGCATCAAGGTTAAAACCCAGAAATTTGTTTGAATGTGCACCGATGCATTGGTAATGCATCGATGCACTCTTTTAAAATAAAGACATCGAATGCAATTCGTGCATCGATGCATAAGTAGTGCATCGATGCATCCCATTAATAATGAAACATCGAATGCAATTGGTGCATCGATGCATAAGGAGTGCATTGATGCATCCCAGTAATAATACTACATCGAATACATTTTATGCACCGATGCATCAGTAGTGCATCGATGCATACCTTCATTAAAAGATGAAATTGACTTTTCTCTTAGTCTAAAGAGTGAACCATTAGAGTATATTAGTTATAATACTGATATAGATCCATGTGTGATTATGTA